CGACTCGTAATACCGAAAATATGCCAATTACTGAAAACTGCGATGGGTCAAAATCTGTCCCCCCCCCCCCACCCTGCAGTTTTCAAAATATCTGATATGTCGGAAATTTGACTCCTGAGCGGGATTTTTGAGCCGAATTCTGACTCTCTGCACCTATTTTCAGAGTCAAATTACGAGTTCTTATACCGAAAATATGCCAATTACTGAAAACTGCGATGGGTCACATTTTGCCCAAACCCCCCTGCAGTTTTCAATATATCTTAAATGTCGGAAATTTGACTCCTGAGCGTGATTTTTGAGCTGAATTCTGACTCCCTGCACCTATTTTCAAGTTTCAAATTACGACTCGGTATACCGAAAATATGTTAATTACTGAAAACTGCATTGGGTCACATTTTGCCCAAACCCCCCCCCCCCCCTGCAATTTTCAAAATATCTGAAATGTTGTAAATGTGACTCCTGAGCGGGATTTTTGAGCCGAATTCTGACTCTTTGCACCTATTTTCATTTTAAAATTACGAGTTTTTATAACGAAAATATGCCAATTAGTGAAAACGGCGGTGGGTCAAATTTTGCCAAAACCCCCCTGCAGTTTTCAAAATATATGAAATGATCGGAAACTTTGACTCCTAGAGCGTGAATTTTGAGCCGAATTCTGATTCTCTGCACCTATTTTCAGTTTCAAATTGCGAGTTCGTTATACCGAAAATATGTCAATTACTGAAAACTGCGATGAGTCACATTTTGCCCAAACCCCCTGCAGTTTACAAATTATCTGAAATATCGGAATTTTGACTCCTAAGCGTGATTTTTCAGCAGAATTCTGATTGTCTGCACCTATTTTCAGTTTTAAATTACGACTCGTTATATCGAAAATATGCCAATTACTAAAAATGGCGATTGGTCATATCTTGCCCAAACCCCCCTGTAGTTTTTAAAATATCTGAAATTGTGGAAATTTGACTCCTGAGCGGGATTTTTGAGCCGAATTCTGACTCTCTGCACCTACTTTCAGTTTCAAATTACGACTTTTTATACCGAAAATATGTTAATTACTGAAAACTGCATTGGGTCATATTTTGCCCAAACCTCCCTGCAGTTTTCAAAATATCTGAAATGTCGGAAATTTGACTCCTCAGCGTAATTTTAGAGCCGAATTTTGACTCTCTGAACCTATTTCCATTTTCAAATTACGAGTTCTTATACCGAAAATATGCCAATTACTAAAAACTGCGATGGGTCACATTTTGCCCAAACCCCCCTGCAGTTTTCAAAATATCTGAAATGTCGGAAATTTTACTCCTGAGCGGGATTTTTGAGCCGAATTCTGACTTTCTGCACCTATTTTCAGTTTCAAATTACGACTCGTTATACCGAAAATATGCCAATTACTAAAATCGGTGATGGGTCATATCTGCTCCAAACCCCCCTGCAGTTTTCAAAATATCTGAAATGTCGGAAATTTGACTCCTGAGCGTAATTTCTGAGCCGAATTCTGACTCTCTGCACCTATTTTCAGTTTCAAATTGCGAGTTCTTATACAGAAAATATGCCAATTACTGAAAACGGCGATGGGTCACATTTTGCCCAAACCCCCCTGCAGTTATCAAAATATCTGAAATGTCGGAAATTTGACTCCTGAGCGTAATTTTTGAGCCGACTTCAGACTCTCTGCACCTATTTTCATTTTCAAATTACGACTTTTTATATCGAAAATATGCCAATTGCTGAAAACAGAGATGGGTCATATTTTGCGCAAACCCCCCTGCAGTTTTCAAAATATCTGAAATGTCGGAAATTTGACTCCTGAGCGTAATTTCTAAGCCGAATTCTGATTCTCTGCGCCTATTTTCAGTATTAAATTGCGAATTCTAATACCGAAAATATGCCAATTACTGAAAACTGCGATGGGTCACATTTTGCCCAAACCCCCCTGCAGTTTTCAAAATATCTGAAATGTCGGAAATTTGACTCCTGAGCGTGATTTTTGAGCCGAATTGTGACTCTCTGCACCTATTTTCATTTTCAAATTACGACTTTTAATAGCGAAAATATGCCAATTGTTGAAAACAGAGATGGGTCATATCTTGCCCAAACCCCCCTGCAGTTTTCAACATATCTGAAATGTCGGAAATTTGACTCCTGAGCGGGATTTTTTAGCCGAATTCTGACTCTGCGCCTATTTTCAGTTTCAAATTAAGAGTTTTTATACCGAAAATATGCCAATTACTGAAAACTGCGATGGGTCAAAATCTGCCCCCCCCCTGCAGTTTTCAAAATATCTGAAATGTCGGAAATTTGACTCCTGAGCGTGATTTTTGAGCCGAATTCTGACTCTCTGCACCTATTTTCATTTTCAAATTACGACTTTTTATACGGAAAATATGCCAATTGTTGAAAACAGCGATGGGTCATATCTTGCCCAAACCCCCCTGCAGTTTTCAAAATATCTGAAATGTCGGAAATTTGACTCCTGAGCGTAATTTCTGAGCCGAATTCTGACTCTCTGCACCTATTTTCATTTTCAAATTACGACTTTTTATACGGAAAATATGCCAATTGTTGAAAACAACGATGGGTCATATCTTGCCCAAACCCCCCTGCAGTTTTCAAAATATCTGAAATGTCGGAAATTTAACTCCTGAGCGTGATTTTTGAGCCGAATTCTGATTTTCTGCACCTATTTTCATTTTCAAATTACGAGTTCTTATACCGAAAATATGCCAATTACTAAAAACGGCGATGGGTCATATCTTGCCCAAACCCCCCTGCAGTTTTCAAAATATTCTAAATGTCGGAAATTTTACTCCTGGTCGTGATTTTTTAGCCGAATTCTGACTCTCTGCACCTATTTTCATTTTCAAATTACTACTTTTTATACCGAAAATATTTTAATTACTGAAAACGGCGATGGGTCATATTTTGCACAAACCTCCCTGCAGTTTTCTGAATATTCGAAATGTCGGAAATTTGACTCCTGTGCGTGATTTTTTAGCCGAATTCTGACTCTCTGCACCTATTTACATTTTCAAATTACTACTTTTTATACCGAAAATATGTTAATTACTGAAAACGGCGATGGGTCATATTTTGCCCAAACCCCCCCTGCAGTTTCCAAATATCTGAAATATCGGAAATTTGACTCCTGATCGTGATTTTTGAGCCGAATTCTGACTCTCTGCACCTATTTTCAGTTTCAAATTACGACTCGTTATACCCAAAATATACCAATTACTGAAAACGGCGATAGGCCATATTTTGCACATATCCCCCTGCAGTTTTCAAAATATCTGAAATGTCAGAAATTTGACTCCTGATCGTGATTTTTGAGCCGAATTCTGAATCTCTGCACCTATTTTCATTTTGAAATTACAACTTCATATTCCAAAAAATGTCAATTACTGAAAACTGCGATGGGTCACATTTTGCTTAAACCTCCCTGCAGTTTTCAAAATATCTGAAATATCGGAAATTTGACTCCCTGAGCTGCATTTTTGAGCCGAATTTTGACTCTCTGCACCTATTTTCAGTTTCAAATTACGACTCCTTATACCAAAAATATGCTAATTACTGAAAACGGCGACGGGTCATATTTTGCTCAAACCCTCCCCCCCCCCTGCACTTTCAAAATATCTTAAATGTCCGAAATTTGACTTCTGAGCGTGATTTTTGAGCCGAATTCTGACTCTATGCACCTATTTCCAGTTTCAAATTACGACTTTTTACCCCGAAAATATGCTAATTACTGAAAACGGCGATGGGTCATATTTTACCTAAACCCCCCTGCAGTTTTCAAAATATCTGAAATTTCGGAAATATAACTCCTGATCGTGATTTTTTAGCCGAATTCTGACTGCACCTATTTTCAGTTTCAAATAACAACTTTTTATACAGAAAATATGCTAATTACTTTAAACGGCGACGGTAATATTTTGCCCAAACCCCTCTGCAGTTTTCTACATATCTGAAATGTCGGAAATTTGACTCCTGACCGTGATTTTTTAGTCAAAAATATGACTCTCTGCACCTATTTTCAGTTTCAAATTGCTACTTTTTATACCGAAAATATGTTAATTACTGAAAACGGCAACGTTTCATATTTTGCCCAAACGCCCCCCCCCCTGCAGTTTTCAAAATGTCTGAAACGCCGGAAATTTGACTCCTGACCGTGATTTTTGAGCTGAATTCTGACTCTCTGCACCTATTTTCAGTTTCAAATTACGACTTTTTATACCTTTCAATTACTGAAAACGAGAGAGAGAGAGAGAGAGAGAGAGAGAGAGAGAGAGAGAGAGAGAGAGAGAGAGAGAGAGAGAGAGAGAGAGAGAGAGAGAGAGAGAGAGAGAGAGAGAGAGGACAGAGAGAGAGAGACAGAGAGAGAGAGAGACAGAGAGAGAGAGACAGAGAGAGAGAGAGACAGAGAGAGAGAGACAGAGAGAGAGAGACAGAGAGAGAGAGAGAGAGAGAGAGAGAGAGAGAGAGAGAGAGAGAGAGAGAGAGAGAGAGAGAGAGAGAGAGAGAGAGAGAGAGAGAGAGAGAGAGAGAGAGAGAGACAGAGAGTGAGAGACAGAGAGAGAGAGACAGAGAGAGAGAGACAGAGAGAGAGAGAGAGAGAGAGAGAGACAGAGAGAGAGAGACAGAAAGAGACAGAGAGAGAGACAGAGAGAGAGACAGAGAGAGAGAGACAGAGAGAGACAGAGACAGAGAGAGACAGAGAGAGACAGAGAGAGAGACAGACAGAGAGAGACAGAGACAGAGACAGAGAGAGACAGAGAGAGACAGAGAGAGAGACAGAGAGAGAGACAGACAGAGAGAGACAGAGAGAGAGAGAGACAGAGAGAGACAGAGAGAGAGAGAGACAGAGAGAGAGACAGACAGAGAGAGAGAGAGACAGAGAGAGACAGAGAGACTGAGACAGAGAGAGACAGAGAGAGAGAGACAGAGAGAGAGACAGAGACAGAGACAGAGAGAGACAGAGAGAGAGAGATACACACACTGACCATCAATCTCGGTGCCATGGTCGAGCATGTGGCCCTCCAGGTCGTCCGGGTACTGGGCCGCCCGCCGCTTGAGCTCCTCCACGAAGGTGCTGATGAGCGCGTCCATCATGATGGCCTGCGGGCACCACCATAATATTACCCACCACGTCCCTCACAACAATAACTCCGTACATATATAGAGAGCAGTCGCAGCCCCTGGTGACCGCAGCCGCTAATAACCTGCATCAATAATAATAGTTATACCTGGAGTTAAAATTAGTTGATGTGTTATGTCCTGTAAATAGCGTTGTTAATAGTGCCAGCCTCTATTCTCACAGTAACCTTGCCTAATCTCACATTACTTTCACCGTAAAAACATTTTCAAACATTTAAATATATATATTTCCGTCAAAATGACTTGACAGTCGTTTGTTTTGTACACAAACATGATATAACTGCCTCGTAGAGTGAGACACAAATGTTGCTTTAGTCTGTAATTGTGTAACGTCTAGGCGGAGTGTATACTGGTTTGGTTCCTATCAATGAATGCTAAGTGTGCGTGGGTTGGTGGAGGGGGGATAGGGGACTCATAATGGGGGGGGAGAGTGATAGTGGGAGGGGTGGGGGGTACTGAGAGCCTTGCATGAGGGAAATATGTGCAATGTATGTATTGTGCAGATATTTTTACAGGTCCTGTTAAAGCTGATGTCTTTTCCCATCCTCTTTCCTGTATGAAAGCCTATTATTGCAATTTATTTGTTTTTTTCCTACTTTCATTTCCATTCTACAGTGTGTGGTTGAGTTTGTCTGTAATCATAACACGGGTAAAGTGCTACATGTTATCGTTAAACATCAGCTTCACGTAACATATTCCCAACCCCCACCTGTTTGGAGAAGATTTGTAGGAGCTTAGAGTATCTTCTGCCATTCTCGACGACGGCGAACTGCAGGAAGAGGCAGGGAAGACATGTGGCGCTCCGTTCGTTGCTTGGTCTGGCGAAGTCCCACGATAGTTCGTCGTACCTCAAGCTCAGCAACACAGTCTGCGATAATAACAGCAGGTAAACAACTACGAATGCTCATATATACAACTGAAAGCTAAATAATATTGCAACTGAAAGCTAAATAATATTGCAACTGAAAGCTAAATAATATTGCAACTGAAAGCTAAATAATATTGCAACTGAAAGCTAAATAATATTGCAACTGAAAGCTAAATAATATTGCAACTGAAAGCTAAATAATATTGCAACTGAAAGCTAAATAATATTGCAACTGAAAGCTAAATAATATTGCAACTGAAAGCTAAATAATATTGCAACTGAAAACTAAATAATATTGCAATGTGTAAAAGGCAGCATGCAGGAGGAGATGGTATACTGAGACCTACCGACTTGTTGGGGTCTATGACGGTGACGCCGGTGGCGTTGATGGTGACGAGGACCGCGATGTCCGGACGAGGAAGCCACGAACTCACCCCTCGCGTCGGCTGCTCGATCTGGCCATGGAAGAACGCACTCCTGCACACAAACACACCCGCCACAAATATGGATTTAATACATTCTTGCATTTATGTACTTATTTTAACACACTCTGAACATGAGAATGAGCAACAACGTGGATGGAAACAAATATCTCAACCTACGCATAGGACATGAAAGCAATGAAAGACTGGACCGAAAGACTTGTCTTATAAACCCCTTAATGTTAGCTTAGGTTATACCGGAGTCTTATAAACCCCTTAATTGCTGCGAGTAACCATAAATAACATTTTAATTTGTCTTAAAGACGTGCCGGAAGTGCAGCGAGTAATTAGTTATGCAAAATGCGGTTAATTTAATAATCGCATTTTCAGATTTTAATATAATATTAAATATCCTGGAGAATGGAGCCTTATGAAGGTAAGCCAAAACTCTTCCTCCCCACCTGATTCTACTGACCCGGCTCTTACCTGTCAAATAATGTTGGGTTTACAGCTTCAGGTTTACCTGAGGGGAACTAACCCCCTAGTGGTCTCGACGAGGGCAGGAAGCCGGCGGTTTATCGAATGTCCCCCCCCATTTGCCTTTATGATCTTTTCCATGTAGATTTTAAAACTCAATAGTTTTTTGGCATGTACGGCTTCAGCGGGTAGGCAGTTCCATGGGTTTATAACCCTGTGGGTGAAAAAGCTTCCCCTGTTCTATTTCTAGCCCAAGACACAAACCCCTCCCTCCTTGCTCCCCCCCCATCAAGGAGGGGCGCAATACCCCCTCCTTGCCCCCCCCCCCCGCAGCAAGGAGGGGAAGCAAGACCCCTCACCGCCTTGCTCCTGTGACTCAGGACGTACCCGTAGTAAGGGAGAGACCAGGAGAACTCCAGGTATTTTCTGACCAGCTTGCGGGCCGTCACGTTGCTGGGGATGGACCGAAACTGCTCGATGATGCGGATCTCCGGCGTCGACTTACTGCTAAAACTGACCAGGTCGCTGAACTTGAGCCGACATGCGTGTTCAGGGAGGTAATCCAACAGTCGACGTCTGCAGGCGACGGGAAAAGTATCAGGTAGAGTTACATATGAATCAAAGTAAACATTTGCATTAGAAGAAATTACGCGAATATGTAGGAAGATTTATTTGTAAAATCAAACTATAAGGGAACTGGCAATAACTGTCAGAATACTGAGTGTGGTGTCTTCAGCATCTTAATATATTCTTGCTGATATGTAAATCTCTCCTTCGAGGTTTATAAAGGCGAAAAATAAGACTTTAAAGAAAATGATAAATTTCAAAAAAGATACAAGAGAGAAAGGTGAGGACAAACGCTTACGAAATCCAAAGCATCATTTCCTTAACACCGTAGTGGTTCTCACCTGAAGAAGGAGGGTGTGTGGGTGGTGTGGTCGTAGGGCCCGAGTTCGAGTCTGCTCTGGATGCCCGCCAACATCTCGTAGTCAGAGAGCTCACAAGGGTAGCGCGCCGAGCGCATGTTCCACTGCGCCTCCTCGTACAGCAACTCCAGGATCTTTGCATCTCTGGTGGATCAAGAGAAACAACTGCTGGTGGTTGTGGTGGGCTTAGTGCACGTTTCGAGGATTAGTTGTAATAGTAGGAGCGAACATAAGAACAAAGTTACTGCTGCGGGGCCTACGCGGCCAATGCCCTATGGCTGGGTCGCTGGGCTCCAAAGCTAGATCAACACCCTTTTCCCCCCCGAAGTGGCAAGGGTAGCAAAGGGGACACTAACTGCAGAAGGCCTATTGGCCCATACGAGGCAGCTCCTATTTATATCACCCAATCCCACTCACATGCATGTCCAACCCACGTTTGAACGAGTGAGCTTAGCAGCAGTAAGAGTAGTAATACTATTACTATTAGTGGTACTAGTAGTAAGTAGTAATGGGGTAGAGAAGGAGTACTAGTAGTAGAGATAAAAGCAGCAGGGAAAGTAGTATTAGCAGTAGAGGGAGTGAGGAGGAGGAGGAGGAATCAGAAGAGATACACGTGAGCTGCATCACCCAATCTTAATCATGGACATTAGTGTTCACATAACTCACCTAGTGTTGAGAAATTCAGTTTGGAGCCAATGGCAGGATTCAAACCTGCACACTGGGTACTCCCAAGTACATGCCCTAAACCACGACCACGATATACTAAAGTAATGGAACCTGGGATTCTGCTGAATCCTCTAGGGGGTTCCCGAGGCTTCCACTGAAGCCAAGTCAAGGTTTCACACATTGCCAGCACATCTTATGAACAAATATCTTATGAGCATATCTTATCTTGAGATGATTTCAGGGCTTAGCGTCCCCGCGGCCCGGTCCTCGATCAGGCCTCCTTTTTGTTACACACCCCCAAGAATCAGCCCGTAGCTGCTGTCTAACTCCCAGGTACCTATTTACTGCTAGGTGAACAGGGGCATCAGGGTGGAAGAAACATTTTGCCCATTTGTCTCCGCCTCCATCGGGGATCGAACCCGGAACCTCAGGACTACGAATCCGAAGCGCTGTCCACTCTTCCTGTAGTATAAGAGTTCTACCCCTCAATGCTTCTCTTCAAATACACAAAGACCTTGTAATCCTAGGGTCCGGGGATCGATCCCCGGCATTGGCGGAAACAAATGGGAAGTTTCTTTCACCCTGATGAGCCTGTTCACCTAGCAGTAAATAGGTACCTGGGAGTTAGACAGCTGCTGCGGGGTGCCTCCTGGGAATGTGTGTGTGTGGGGAAAAAAATTGATTGACAGTTGAAAGGCGGGCCCAAAGAGCCAGAGCTCAACCCCCGCAAGCACAACTAGGTGAGTATAAAGAACTCACATTAACGCGACGTATCAATGAGAAAAAGAACTATTGTTGCTTCCCAAACTCAAGTCCTGGCACCGGATTCACGAAGCAGTTACGCAAGCACTTACGAACCTGGGGCCAGATTCACGAAGCAGTTACGCAAGCACTTACGAACGTGTACATCTTTTCCTCAATCTTTGACGGCTTTGGTTACATTTATTAAACAGTTTACAAGCATGAAAACTTACCAATCAACTGTTGTTATTGTTATAAACAGCCTCCTGGTGCTTCGGAGCTCATTAACTGTTTAATAATTGTAAACAAAGCCGCCAAAGAAGATGTACAGATTCGTAAGTGCTTGTGTAACTGAGTTGTGAATATGGCCCCCAGGTTCGTAAGTGCTTGCGTAACTACTTTGTGAATATGACCCCAGGTTCGTAAGTGCTTGCGTAACTACTTTGTGAATCTGGCCCCAGGTTCGTAAATGCTTGCGTAACTACTTTGTGAATCTGCCTCGAGGTTCGTAAGTGCATGCGTAACTTCTTTGTGAATCTGGCCCGAGGTTCGTAAGTTCTTGCGTAACTGCTTCGTGAATCTGTCCCCTAGTCCCCCAAACCCCCTCACCTGATCTTGACCTCGTCTCTCTTGCTAAAGAAAACGTTTCTTCTGAGCACCATCTTGGGTTCGTGAGCGTAGCGGGCGTCTTGGGGCTTAATGGGGATCTGGGCGAAGCGCTTGAGCAACTCTCCCCACTGTCGCCGGACCTCCAGAGCCCGCTGGTAGGGCTTCAACTGGATCTCTGTCGTGGGAGACACCAGGAATGAACGTGGTTCCGCCGCATGAAAGGCTCACTGGAAAGCACAAGGGGAAATGTAAATAATGTAAGGTAGCAAGACTGGGGACCATCAATGTGTGAAAAATAATTAATAAAAAGTGTATATATATATATATATATATATATATATATATATATATATATATATATATATATATATATATATATATATATATATATATATATATATATATATATATATATATATATATATATATATATATATATATATATATATATATATACATATAATATATATATATATATACTACGTGTAAGTTCACGGGGAACAAATTAGTACACAAAGAGCAAGAAGGGCGCAATGATCACCACAGACGGCTAACAACCCAATGGTCATGGGTTCGAATCCTGGGCAGGAAGAGACATTTGGACATGTTTACTTTTACCTGATGCGCCTATTCACCTAGCAGTAAGTAGTTAAGTGGTAGACAGCTGTTGTCGGTTAGATCATGATGAAAGTCAGTCATTGTCGTAAGATAGCCACGAGAGAGCTCTTAAGAGAGCCTACCAGGCTACCTGTCCCCCAACAATGGGAAACCATTATGACTGACAGATCAGGGTGCGGGTGACTGGCTGAAAGTGACAGATGATGAAGTGTGATTGAAACGATACTAAACGAGTGACGACACAGAGGACAAGATACGATGTGTACCAATATGCACAAGACTTACGTCTAACTTACGTCTAACTAAATTTTAATTTATCTTTCCCTCTTCCCTATCTCCATCTCACGTGCTTGTTATTATCTCCGTTCATCTTAAAGCCTTGCTACAGCAATTACATTAATATGATGTGGTTGTTGACCAAACCACACACACTAGAAAATGAAGGGACGACGACGACGTTTCGGTCCGTCCTGGACCATTCTCAAGTCGATTATGTGACCGAATCCAATGGACGTACCGAAACGTCGTCGTCCCTTCACCTTCTAGTGTGTGGTCTGGTCAACATATTTCAGCCACGTTATTGTGACTCCTCGCCTGCATGATGTGGTTGCACAAGCGTTTATCTGATTTAAATGCTAAGCTTCACTTACATTTAACAGAGGAGGAGGGGGGGGGAATATTTAGAGCATATTCGTGCAAGATACTACATCTTATAACTTGATTTCTCCCACATTTATTGGTTGTGAGAACATGTGGCATATACGACTCAGCCAAGGGAACATCGCTCGCTGGTTATCTTGAATGAAGATATCTTGATATCTTGAATGAAGATATCTTGATATCTTGAATGAAGATATCTTGATATCTTGAATGAAGATATCTTGATATCTTGAATGAAGATATCTTGATATCTTGAATGAAGATATCTTGATATCTTGAATGAAGATATCAAGATATCTTGAATGAAGATATCAAGATATCTTGAATGAAGATATCAAGATATCTTGAATGAAGATATCAAGATATCTTGAATGAAGATATCTTGATATCTTGAATCGCTGGAATGACATCCGCGGTTCAGGTGCATATAGAGTGACGCCGCCGCTGGATGACCGTCTTTGAGGTGCATGCAGTGAAACTGCAAACGTGTGACCGTCTTGGCTTATATTAACAGTCTTCTGGTTCTCTCCGAGACGTTGGGACAGGTGGGGAAACCTTGAGGAAACTGGCTATGTGCAACGTGGCCTGACAGCTGAGTGGACAGCGCTTGAGATTCGTAGTCCTGAGGTTCCGGGTTCGATCCCCGGTGAAGGCGGAAACAAAATGGGCAGAGTTTATTTCACCCTGATGCCCCCCCCCCCTGTTTACCTAGCAGTAAATAGGTACCTGGGAGTTAGACAGCTGCTGCTTCCTGGGGATGTGTAACAAAAAAGAAGGCCTGGTCGAGGACCGGGCCTCGGGAACGCTAAGCCCCGAAATCATCTCAGGATAACCTCAAGATAACGTTACTGGGTAGAGATGCAAACTGGTTGTTATCGGAAGAGCTAAATGGAGACAGCAATTGTAAACCAACAAATTTATCCAGTGGGATAATTTATCCAGTGGGATAATTTATCCAGTTTATAATTTATCCAGTTTATAATTCAATCAATCTTCAATTAAAAGATAATTCAATCCAGTTTATTTATCCACTATATTCTATCCAATATTTGATGGGATATATTCAAATATATTCCTATATATTCAAAATACAGATCCTATATTCAAATATCCTATATTTGAATATAGAATTATATCCTATATTTGAATATAGGATTATATCCCATATTCAAATATCTTATATTTGAAGGAATTTATCCCTGGGAACAGCCACGGCGCAGGAGGCGGCGTGCTGAAAACCAGGATAACTGGATAATTTGTTCTGGTATAAACCAGGATAACTGGATAACAGGATAATTTGTCCTGGTAAAAAACAGGATAACTGAAGGCATGTGGAAGCCGATGATCTTTATCCCGCCTCTGAGAAGGATAAAGAAGGCGATTGTATACACAACAAATACATTACGTTGTTGTTTTAGATTCAGCTGCTCGAAATGTAAGTCCCGAGTAGCACGGGCTATGGCGAGCCCGTACCACACCGCTTTGTTTACCACAGTAAGAAATAGACTTTATTATTAGACTTGAGAAAAGTCTAGGGCGCGGCGCAGGCACCACCAAGGAAGCAAAATCCTTCCTGACCAAGAACAGGGTGAGGATTTCTTTTAATTTTTGTATATACACAGGAGTTCTTATATTCTTGTACAGCCACTAGTACGCGTGGTGTTTCTGGCAAATCCTTAATCCTATGTTCCCTGGATTACGACCCGCTGAATCCTTTAACGACCAGGGGCCAGATTCACGAAGCAGTTACGCAAGCACTTACTAACCTGTACATCTTTTGTCAATCTTTGGCGGCTTTGTTTACAATTATTAAACAGTTAATGAGCTTCGAAGCACCAGGAGGCTGTTTATAACAATAACAACAGTTGATTGGCAAGTTTTCACGCTTATAAATTGTTTAATAAATGTAACCAAAGCTGACATAATGTCGGCTTATGTTCTAAAATGTTCTTCCTACATGTTGTTCTAAAAATGTTATTCCTACATAGCATCAAAAGCCTTGTACGACTTCCTCACACACCAACATGCAATATATTAGTACACATCTTTAGGAAAGATGTACACGTTCGTAAGTACTTGCGTAACTGCTTCGTGAATCCGGCCCCCAGGTACCCATTTTACTACTGGGTAGACAGAGGCTACAGTTAAGGATTGGCGCCCAGTCAATCCTCCCCGGCTAGGATACGAACCCAGGACAAAGCGCTCGCGAAAAGCCAGACGAGTGTCTTACCACTACGCCACGGGAACCTGCTCTATAGGGACCTGGAGCCAGATTCACGAATCAGTTACGCAAGCACTTACGAACCTGTACATCTTTCCTCAATCTTTGACGGCTTTGGTTACATATATTAAACAGTTTACAAGCATGAAAACTTGCCAATCAACTGTTGTTATTGTTATAAACAGCCTCCTGGTGCTTCGGAGCTCATTAACTGTTTAATAATTGTAAACAAAGCCGCCAAAGATTGACAAAAGATGTACAGGTTCGTAAGTGCTTGCGTAACTGCTTCGTGAATCTGGCCCCTGCTATATAGCTTGAGCTACGTCATCCCTTTACGTGTATTTATACCTCAATAAACTTATTTCAATTTCAATTCAATGTCTCGACCAAAGGCCCACGCGGCCTGTCCCAACACACGCTCAACCAACATAAGCCAAATTCTCCTAATCTGAAATCTTTGATCATTTACAAACTTTGATCAAATTAAAACTTTGATCACTTCTTTTGAAGACAATTTGAATAGGAGTGTTTATGATAATAAGAGAACTGAAAGCCTTATATGTAATGCAATTTCGAAGATATTTAATATGACAGCACATGATAAAGAGATAAAATAACAAGTATAATCACAGTGGACCACAACCACAGCGAGCAGAGTACAATGCTCACTGACATTACTCAAATCCGAAGAAATGAAGATGCTACCAACTGCTAAGTAACAGACTAATCAAACGAAGATCTATATGAACAAATCCACAAGGGCCGTGACGAGGATTCGAACCTGCGTCCCAGACACTGCCTTAATCGACTGAGCTACATCGAAGAATCTATATCCTAGACATTAGTGACTAATGTCTACGTCCTAGACATTAGTGAAGAAGACATCCAAGCATAACTTCAGATAGATGAACTTCCGATCTACACCGTAAAGAAATTTATACGCTTAACAGCTGAAGAACTGAGTGGTACAGACACAGCCTTCCTTACCTTCCTGGGCGACCATCCACAGTCTCCACACACTAGAATTATACATTCCACGTCCAACTCAATGTTTCAGATGTGACGAATTTAACCACATTTCAAAAGGATGCACAAAAGACCTCAAATGTGGTGCAGGCGACGAGTCACAATAACGTGGCTGAAGTTGTTTGACCAGACCACACACTAGAAGGTGAAGGGACGACGACGTTTCGGTCCGTCCATTGGATTCGGTCACACAATCGACTTGAGAATGGTCCAGGACGGACCGAAACGTAGTCGTCCCTTCTAGTGTGTGGTCTGGTCAAACTACTCAACTGTGGCTATAGTTTAAACGCCCACTATAAACAAACGTGAACTTCAGTCACACTCAAATGTTCAACACTGTGAGGTGGCGACCATCGTGGCGGGAACCTGCAGGCACTCTATACAGGAGAGGAAACAACGTTGCTGTGAGAACAGCAGCAGCCGGAGGATCACTAACCTACAGCAATAGGACGCCGGGGGACCACACACGCCTCAATACTTCTATAAAAGATGAAAGATAAACTGAGTATAGACAGGGATTGAGGGTTTTCTCTCCCTTTGTCTCTCTCAACCTCTCCCTTTGTCTCTCTCAACCTCTCCCTTTGTCTCTCTCAACCTCTCCCTTTGTCTCTCTCAACCTCTCCCTTTGTCTCTCTCAACCTCTCCCTTTG